TATTTGTTTCCCTCTTGGTCCTTGCTGGCTTGGCTAACTTCCGAATGCGCCATTTGCTCCTTTTCTAGAATACAAAACACAAAAAATGCACAAACTGCACAGGGGCGGACACTCACTGCTGTGTGGAGAGTGGACGTTTTTGTTAGCTTCTCTGCAGCGCTTATTCGTTTTAGGGGCTGCCTCCCAAGCCATGCCTGTCTGCCCCAAGGGCCTGACCAGTTTGGGAATGACCAGTCCACATCATCCCTCTCTGTCCAAGCCCCTAGTCGCACACGACAAGGGTGTGTTTACTGGAATACTGGGGGCCTGTGGCTGTGGGTCTGTGGTTACTTTGGTTTTCATGTGACCCATTGTGGCACCTGCACTTGATTTCAGCTGGTGGCAAATTCCCCCTACCCTGGGAAGTCTCTCTAGCCTTGTCCTGAAGATGATCAGAGGCAGGGCCTTTGCACTCCACAATCCAGGCTGCAACTCTTCCCAGACACAAATTACAGCAATGGCTTGCCTCTCTAAGACCCATGAGGGTATGGGTTGGGCTGCTGTATATTTTCAGGGACTGTTGGGGGCTGAAGATGGGAGTTGGCAGGAGAATGAGGGTCCAATAAATCCTGAATCACTGTTGTCTTCCCTGCAGCCAAATACCCAGCCATCAAGGCCCTGATGCGGCCAGACCCCCACATCAAATGGACCGTGTCGGGAATGGTGCTGGTGCAGGTGCTGGCCTGCTGGCTGGTGCGGGGACTCTCTTGGCGATGGCTGCTGTTTTGGGCCTACGGCTTCGGTGGCTGCATCAACCACTCGCTGACACTGGCCATCCATGACATCTCACACAATACTGCCTTTGGCACAAATTACGCCTCCCGCAACCGCTGGTTTGCCGTCTTTGCTAATCTGCCCATCGGCCTGCCTTATGCCACATCCTTCAAAAAGTACCATGTGGATCACCATCGTTACCTGGGCGGAGACGGGCTGGATGTGGATATTCCCACGAACTTCGAGGGCTGGTTCTTCTGCACACCGGCCCGCAAGCTGCTCTGGCTGGTACTTCAACCCTTCTTCTATGCACTAAGGCCTCTCTATGTGAACCCCAAGGCAGTGACACGGATGGAGATCCTCAACGCCCTGGTGCAGCTGGCATTTGATGTCATTATCTTTGCTCTCTGGGGGATCAAACCCATAGTGTACCTTCTAGCCAGCACCCTCCTGGGCCTGGGTCTGCACCCTATCTCTGGCCACTTTGTGGCTGAACATTACATGTTCCAGAAGGGCTATGAGACTTACTCCTACTACGGACCCCTCAACTGGATCACCTTCAACGTGGGCTACCACATGGAGCACCATGACTTCCCCAGCATCCCTGGTTGCTACCTGCCACTGGTAAGTGCTCAGCCTGGGCTGAGCTGGCACAGGAGAGGAGTGAAGAGTGAAGGAAGGGCTCTGGCTATTCCCTGGATGCCTTTTCCTTTGTGTGTTGGTAAGGGGATGGTTTCCCTTTGGCTCCATGGCAGCAGGAAAGGCTAGACCACATAAGCCAGTGCCTGGAGACGGAGGAGGCAGATCCAGAGAGGGCAGAGTTTTCCAAGCGGGTGCAGGTTAGCAGCTTAGGTTAATATACTGCTTGGAACCCTGCTGATGGGCTCTGGGGTGTCCCTGGTCAAGCGCTTGTCCCGTTTCAGCGTCCTTTTCTGTTATCAGTGGACACTGAGAAGGACCCTGCTTCTTATCTCCTCCCTGTTGGAACCCATTTCTTATCACAGCCTTGGGACAGTCGAGACATACTGTGCCATTTGGAGCTGGCCAGGCAGCACAGGTGTGGATCTTGTCCTTGCAACCTATGGGAACTGGCTGTAGTGACAGGGAGGGAAAGCTAATAAGAAGGGAAGGGAGGCTGAGGTAGAGGGGGTTGAAGCTGAGGTAGAGGGGGTCGAGGGTGAGATAGAGGGTCAGGTGGTCCTGAATGTTAGGTGTGCAAAGAGCAGCAGTGGGGGAGGGGGCTCCTGTCCCAAGTATGTTTGCATATGCCCTTTGGATGGCCACGTGTGTGTGTGTGTGTGTGTGTGTGTGTGTGTGTGTGTGTGTGTTGGGATGTGTGAAAGCTTGTCCAGTATGCATTGGGCTGGATGCCTTTGGATTGTCCCAGTGATGTATGTGTTCACGTAGCAAACGTAGCTGTCTGCTCTTTCCACACTGGTCACACTCAAATATACATTTGAGATGAGGGCAGAGGTTAAGAGGAGGGGACAGCACATCTCAGAGGCCAAGCTTGAGTCTTGACTGAGGCCACCTCTGATAGGAACAGCCTTCGTGAACACTGTAGGCAGGAGAGGCAGCTGTCTGCTGGGCCCGTTTTAGATACAGCAATGGCTGTTTCCCTGGGAAGGTGGGAAGGCAATCTCCGCAGCACTGTGGGAGTTGGGTTATAGGCTGCAGTACTCCCTAGGGGAGGATGTAGACACAGAGTTTCAGGTCAGGGTAAAGGCTCGGGGTGGAGAAGTGTGATCGCTGAGCAAACAGTGAACCGTGAGGCTCAGAGGCTGGCAGAACATAGGATGCTGAGGTGAGGGTATGACCCAAGGTCTGCAGGGTGTAGTTCTCAGAACTCTGCAGCATCATAGTGGACCTGTCCTGCTTGTGTGTGTGTGTGTGTGTGTGTGTGTTTACTCACGAACCAGCCGAGGTGCAGTCTTGACCTCAACCCCTTCCCATAGGTGCGGAAGATTGCACCCGAATACTATGACCACCTGCCGCAGCACCACTCCTGGGTGAAAGTGCTCTGGGACTTCGTATTTGAGGACTCTATGGGACCCTACTCCAGGGTCAAGCGCAAGTGTAAGCTGGCGAAGGACCAACTGTGAGCCCTGCTGACCAGTAGTCCAGATGGAGCAGCCACAAGCCTCCTGCCCATGTGAACTGGTTTGTCTGCATCAGCTCCTGCAGCCTAAGCTGCCTCTGGCTGTGTTGGACCCAGCAAGTAGACACAGATTAGAGAAACCAGGCTTACCCGACCTTTCTGGGTCTTAGCTATAACTGCCCAGGATACTGAGCAGGAAGAGCTATGAAGCTGGTGTCTCTCTATGCCCCAGATTAAATCTAATATGTCTTTATAGTCTATGTGTTTTCCTTCTTTTGGGCAGGATGGAGTCTTGGCCTGAACCTGGGATCCCAGAGAATGAGGCCTGAATCCCAGTAGATGGAGTCCAGCACCCGTGTAGCTCCTTTTGGCAAGCCCCAGGCCTGATCCACTCCCTTAGGCTCTAGAAGGCCTGAGGCATCCACCTCTATGGAGGAACCTCTAGGTATGGGGTGCACAAGGTCCCTCCCTCCGGGCCACAGAACAGTTCCACTTTAGGCCCCTGATTTGTGAAACCCTGCTGGTCAGGCCAGCAGCGTGAGATCCGTATCCCCGGACATGGATGCATCAGGTTGCAAGAAGTGTTTATATATAGTCCTAGACAAGGTCCGCTCAGGCCGGCAGCATAGGGTCCATATATCTACATAGGGTCAGGTCACGTTGATGGCATGGGGCTCATCTCTCCCCATCCTACATGGAACTGGCTCCCAAGTCAGATGGCTGGCTGGGCGTTTGTGTGGGAGTCGGGGGCGGGACCCAAAGGCTGCTGTGATGACATGGCTTCGATTAAAACAGGCAGCCTTGGTTAGTGAGCCGGTCCTAAGGGGTCGGGCCATAGTGGGTCCTGATGTCCAGAGCAGGTAGCAGCAGTGTGCTGGAAGAGGGGGCCTTGGTAGAGAGACACATGAGTGGGCCCAGCCTTACAGCTCCCACTATAGCCTGAGCTTGAGGCGGTAGGCTTGACCATGGCGGCCACCACAAAGGAGGCTAGGCAGGGAGGGTGTGCTACAGCCATCGCCTCATGCCTGGGAGTGGCCCCTGTGGTTCCAGGAACAGGTGTCCTTGAATAGTGACTGTTGAGATGACTTAGAAGGCCTGGTCTAAGAAAGGACTTTGAACCAGGGCAGGTAGCCCTGCCCTGTGCATGCAGGCTAATCCATGGACTGAGGGGAACTCCAGTGAGTCCAGCTGCCACCCTACTACCCTAGATGTGCCCCACCTCACCCAGGCCCACCAGCCCTCTTCCTGTAGACAGTGCCATAGGCTGTGTTGAGACCTCCCCTCATGTCAGAGGCTGCTCTGGGGCTCAACTGTACTTCTGAAGGTGCCGTGAACAGGCTGTGCTGAGGGCATTTTGTCAGATGCTGTACGCTGCAGCTACGGTCGTCTCAGGAATGTGGAGTGTACTGCCCTGGCCAGGCCTCCTAGAGCTGCCCAGTCTTCTCTCTCATATTCCTGGCCTCAGTGAGGTGAAATGTGCTGTGGTCACCCCGGCCTCCCCTACCCTCCCCCCAGCCTCTCCTACCCTCCCCCAGCCTCTCCTACCCTCCCCCAGCCTCTCCTACCCTCCCCCCAGCCTCTCCTACCCTCCCCCAGCCTCCCCTACCTTCCCCCAGCCTCTCCTACCCTCACCCCAGCCTCTCCTACCCAGGCCTCCAGCACCAAGCAGGTATTCTGCTCTACAGTCATGGTGGCCATGGGAGGTCACAAGGTCCCCATGGCTGGTCTCCTGGCCATACTGACATGGCCCTTGACACCAAGAGCCAGAGGCTCCCTGTAGCCATAGTGGAGATTATGTGCTGGGACCCTCCATAGGTGGCCATGGATTGTTTCTGGCAATGTCACAGGAATCAGAGAGTCTGTGTGGTAAAAGCCTCCTGTCACTTGAGTGAGCCCCAGGCCCACTTCTGGAACCTGACACATTGAACACAGAGTCCTGTGTGTCCAGGGAGTACGCTGCATTCAAAGTCCACCCACCTGAAACCCTGGGGCTGGGTGCAGGACCTGAGGCTCCGCTCCACCAGCAGGAGGTGCCTGGTAGCCTGTCCACTTCCTGGGGGTGTTCTGGAGCCCAGCTGCTTTCTGAGTTCCCCTCTTTATCCTGTCATTCTTGCATGCTCTGGCCGGCGCATGAGAGAGAGGCAGAGTCTGAGTGTGCACAGTGGACAGTTTATTATGGTGTGGACATGACACGCACTGCGTGGACAGACGGGAACACCGTGGCTGCTGGGGCTGCGCTGCACTCCGACAGCTCTGTGGCGTGGAAAGGCCACGCTGCACCCAGCTGCTCCCTGCCAGCTGAGGCGCCAACAGTGTCACCTAGGAGAAAACTTGGAAGCCATCTAATAAAGCAGGTGATTTGGGGGTGTTCTCTATAAATCAAAGGAACGTACACTTAAATAAGCAAATATAAAATACAAAACAAGAATAGACCCGGTGTTCTGTGTCAGATACACTAAAAAATCCAGGAGTTGAAGTTGGTTTCCTCACTTTAATATTGTACCACAGGTTGAGAGTTAAGTATATCCCAGCTTCGGCCGGCAGGCTCGATGCTCGCTGGGGCCAGCACGGCTCCTTGCAATCCTCCGGGGCTGGTGCCATCTTACGTGGTGCTGATCCCACTGAGCTCCTGCCTGATGGCTAAGGGCAGGACAGGAGAGCCGGGCTCAGTGCAGCAGGGAAGGACCCTGCTAGAGCTGCCATGGGCACACGTGGCCTAGAGGCCCACCAGCATGGCAGCTTTGATACAGACCTTTGGGGAGGCAACCCAGCACTCACGGGCTTCTGCCCCTAAAGACGGGAACTTGGGAAAGGCAAAGGCTATGCCTCGCCTCAGAGCTGTGTCGGGCTGCTTGTGGGAGGGACCCGGAGTTTTCCTAGAGTCTGACAGGTGGGCACCCACGTCTGCTTGAGGTGTGTGTGATACAGCGGGACTCTCTGGCTACACAGCTGTTACAGACTGTGCTAGTGCCATGGCCTGCCCTTTCCCTTCCAGGACAGGCTCTGGTCTTGATGCTTGAGCATCTGTTAAGTCTTCCCTTCTTCTGGACCTCTCCTTCTGTCCCTGCCCCAATCTGGACTCCCACTGCTTAGCTCCCCACGCTCTCCCTCTGTCCCTCACTGGCCTCTGGTACCCTCACAGTGCAGACATGGCCGGAGCCAACAGTCAGAGAAGGGACACCATTAAGTAATGGGATCTTTGTAGGGCCAGGACCCTCACATGCTTTCCTGGGGCTCATGGCATGGGCCTACATGGCGCTGACAGGCAGTGACTGAAGCAGTGACGTCTGTGCCCCTGCCTCCCTGAAGAGGGGCAGTATGTCTTACTCTCTGTCTCTTCCCAGGCAGCTCTTGAAGATAGCCTGCTGCACACAGCGTTTCCTACCCAGCTATTCCCCCAAGTGCCAGAAAGGGAACCCCCTCCCCACCTCGGGGTTGGCAGTGACACACCCAACTGTGCTTTAGCTGGGCTGTTTCCTTCCCTGTACTCATGACCGCTCTCCCAGAGCTGGACTCTGGTGAGACTGGGCAGACAGGAATTGCGCCCCCTGTGGCCAACGGTTGTAGCTGTTATAGTGGCTGGCTGCCAGGTTGTTACAGAACCTCTGTGGACATCTTCCCCATGAGAGCCTGCCATTAGCTGCCCTCTGGCTTCACAGGCCTTTCTAGTGCAGCCACTGCTGCTGGCCTGGGGACCAGTGAGAGGTGAGGCAGTGTGCGGGCTGCAGGCGCAGGCTATGCTTTACTGCTCTGTTCTAGCCCAAGTCAGCCCTGGGGTCAGATGTGAGGGTCACAGTCTCAGTTTTTAGAGCCAGGGCTCTTCTGGGAAGGAGGAAACACTCTGTCTGTTCCCTACACAGGGTCACACAGGCTGTGAGGGAGCTCAGCACCCTCCAGAGGCAGCCTTGGCAGGAGAGGACTGGACAGGCAATAGAGTGAACAGGAAAGGACAGAAACTAGGGGTGTTTCTGCGCCCCCCTCTCCAGCACAAGAGATCTTCTGAGAGGATGCTGAGGGAAGGGCGATCTCAGACAAGAAGCCACACCCACAGAGATACGCAGTCTTGGTAAACCACCTTGCTTTCCTGCACCTAAGTTTCAACAGCTACTGGGGGTGAGTGGGATGCGGGAGGACAGTCACTCCCTCCCCTGGCTGAGGCCCCACTCACCGTCAATGATCTCCTCCTTCACCTTGTGGAGCTCTCGGAACACCTCCTCCAGGATCTCCTGCTGGGCAGAGCCTCACAGTGAAGGCACAGTCACCGGCTCAGGGGATGTGCTGCAGGGGTCTTTCCCTCAGCCTGGACCTGAGAAAACCCTGCCCTCACCACCCCTCAGTTCACGATGGCTGCCCACAGGGAGGGGCCCCAGAAGCAGGCTGCAGGGTACCCAGACATTTTCTTTTCCTCTGCTGGCTAGGGTCCTGCCTTTGTGGCAGTCAAGTATGGGACCCACTGGCTAGAGCTCGCCCCCAGCCTGCTGGCTGCCCCTGGCTCTCACCTGTTTCATCCGGTCCAAATCTAAGGCATCCAGGCCTACGTCATTCACACTGCCAGCAGGCTTCACCCTGGAAGGATAACAGGCAGCTGTGGGAAGGTGGTTGCAGGTCTACAGGGACCCATGCTGGGGCAGCCTGGGGGGGGGGTCAGAGTTCCCCCCAGCCCTTCTGCTGTATTTTACCTAAGGATGCTGGGAAAAGGTGTGGAAGGCCTGCCTCTCAAAGGTCTCTCTACAATCCCTCAACCACATTTCCCCGTCCAAGTCAGGACACAGGGCCATATAGGAGCATCTTCTGGCTTGAGAGGCCTTATGCCAAATAGGCAATGAGGCCGACTATGTCTGTGGCTCCCGCCTCCCTGAAGAGGGATAGACTGATCATCTCTTCTGCCACAAGGAGTTGCGTTCCTAGCTGAACTCTGGTTGGTGAAACCCACCAGACTCAATGAAATGGTAACTAGCTCCACGCTGGGAATACCGCTTCAAGCTAGCACTTCCTGGGTGGGAAGTGGCTCCCCTACTTCTGTTCTTCCAGAAGCATCCAAGGACGTGGCTTTGCTCCTTCTTTATTGGTTATACTTTGAATAAGTTCTGGAGTGACATCACTGATCTGAGTGTCAATGTCTCGGGCACAGGTGCTCTCCCAGACACTCACTAGCCACAATGTGAATCTACCTCCAGAGTCTTTCAAAACAAGGTGGAGGTGCCGAAGGCAGACACAGTCTGGACACAATTCTCCGCCCATGTGGAGAGCAGAGCTCTGGAAGCCTGTGGCTCCAGGAAAGGAACAAGGCTGGAATCAGGTGAGGGACACTGGGACATGATGGGATTCCAATGCTGTCCCTGGGGACAGCTCGGTATGCAAGGAGTCATGTTAGAATGAGGGCCACTGATCTTCAAAGTTTGGGAGAAAAGGCTGAAAACTAAAGTGAGCTACAGACTCGTGACCATGGTGCTGAACAGGTCTGCCAGGAATTCTGGGTCCTGGTAGGCAAACACGCCCGAGCTTCAGGTCCTTCCTGTGGGTTGCAGGCACCATTTCAGCAGTGACTGCCTGGAACCTGAATCACCACCTTACTTCTCCAGGCCCAGCTCTCCCGCCTCCACACGGCAGCCATCATGAACAGCATGTATGGTGTGAGCAGGCGGTTACTGTGCATTCTCAGTAAAACTAGTGACCAGTGCTGGGACCAGATGCCCAGGGTGAGATGCTACTCACGGGGGCTCCCTTCTCTGAGGAGAAGGGAGAGGGCAGTGGGGGGAGGAGTTTGTAAGGGTGAGACTGGGAATAGAGAGGGAGCGGGACGGTGATCCAGATGTAAAATGAATTTTAAAAAATTAAAGAGAGAGCAAGAGAGAGAGAGAGAGAGAGAGAACCACAACAACAATGGAGACCAGTTTGGCCTGAAGCTGCAGAGAGATTTCATTCTCACAGAGAGGCCTCGGCCATGTGTCTGCCCAGGGAAGGACAGCTGACCACTGAGGAGGTGGGAGCATTCTCTGAGAACCCATTGCAGTAAGACTAGCTCCACAGGCTACTCCAGCCTCACCAGCCTCCTCCTTCGTTCCTGTGTTCAGGCACTCTGCAGGGAGCCTGTGTGTGGGAGATCAGCTGCACTGAGTGCTCATGCACAGTCTTCCTGCACTGAGTACTCATGCCCAGTCTCCCCGCCTGTAGCCACTGCCTGTTCTTCTCCTCTGCTAGGCCGGTTGTGCTCAAGGCCCCACCATCTTCCCCCCTCTTCAGGTCGATGGTGCCTCCTAAATCTCTTGCAGCAGTCTGTCTCTCACAGGCAAGGCCAGCCCCTCTCTACAGCTCCCACTGCAGACCACCACTGCCCTCAGCGTGGTCTGGAGCTCTTGGAACCACAGCTATCTCTTGGCCCATGGCCTGGCTCCCCATGGGCACGCCTGTCAGGGCTGGGCTAGAGCCCTCGCTCACCACCTTGTCTCACTCTGCAAGCCTGGCTCCGGCTGTCACCTGCACTGTGACACGAGATGCTTGCTCCCGTTTGGGGTGGCCAGTAGAGAAAGTTCCTGGAGTGGGCTTAGGCCTTCAAGGGCAGGCATATTGGTTTCAGTTCCCATCTTTGTCTTTTGGGTCTACCCTGCTGTCATGTTGGCATTTGGTTTGGGAAACAAGGGTGGGGAGAAGTTGACTTTGAAGGCAGGCTAGGCGTGCTGCATGCAAAGAAAGGAGCCAGGGACAGTCTGAGGGACGGCGCTGTACTGAGGGGAGTGGTGGTCCCCGCCATTGCCCTGGGTGGGAGGGACTGACTGGACTTGCTTCTCTTTCCCTCTGACAGTCATCCTCTGCAGACTTATCTTCTTCGGAGAGGAAGGAGCCAGCCTGCACCCCTGTGATGGTCTCTAGCTCTGCCTCTCCCCAGGTCTGAAAGGGCAGACCACCCTTTCCAGAGCAAGTTGTTAATACTAAGACACAAGACAGGATTGGGGGTGTTAGTCATAGGCAAGGGGACAGAGGAGGCCACAGAGCATGGGCCACATGTGGGCAGAAGGGTTGTCAGTACCTAGAGTGAGGCTGCGACTGAAGGGGGCTCTTAGCTTCGGGGCTCTTTGCCACAGACGGGGTTCTACGGCATGGAATGAAACAGACATGTGAACCAGTACCAGAGCCCGCCCACAGACTTGTCTCTTGGCCCTCCCCAGAGCAGCTCACCTGGACAGCAGCGAGGACACAGGTTTCTCCACCGAGTTGCTCCGCTCCCAGGGCTTTCGGCCAGCCTCTGCCAATTCATTTCATGAAGGGTCAGAGCTGAGAGGATTCAGTGTCACCCCACTCCTAAGTCCTCTCTGTGGGAGCCTACTCAGACTCTGGGTGCAGAGCCTCTGTGGGAGCTGCTCAGAGTAGAGCTGCAACCTGGCCCCAAGCCTCAGTCCCCCTTTCAGCAGGAGCTGTAGGTGACAGCAGGCACCTTGTAGATAGCCTGCTGTCACCTTGTTTCCCACTATTCCCTTGACACTGGAGTCCTCTCCACAGAGCTTGGTTCAGCTGCTAGGGAAGCAGAGAATCCAGTTACGCGTGAGTAGGCAGGGATCCGAGCCAACACTCTGGTCCTGTCCTGGTACATGCCCCTGTGGCCAGGCTCCCTGGACACCACTAACCTCTGTCCACTAGTCTCTTCACACTGAGTCTGGCCTGCTCCCCTCCTCAGCCTGAAGCAGCTTTCCCCTTTCTCAGTCTAGTGCTACAGGCTGAGGGAGACTCATCTGGATGCTTGGGACCAGGTGTTACTGCAGATCCAGAGGTCATACGAAATCACTGGCCGCTTTAGACTTTGGAGCACTTTGTGGGTTTGGACTGTGAGCACTCAGCCTTTGCTGTACTAGATTACAACGCATGCTTCAGTTCACAGGAAACAGACTGACTGAGCCAGAGATGCTGGCCACGGGTCAAGCAAAGAGGCATGGAGCTGTTGTGCCCTAAGCTGGGCTTTGTCTGCAGAGCAACCGAAGGTCTGAGGCAGGTACCTCAAAGCCACCTGGCAGGTGACGGGCCTACAGGAACAAGATCTGGGGCCAGAGCCATCCTCCGGGTGTGTGGCCTCGAGCAGCATACAGCTGCTACGTGCGGGAAATCCCTTCTCCTGCCAAGCTGGGAAATCCCATAACCCACACAGTAGGGAAATGAGGACAGTGGCACTGAGCAAGCCATCCAATGCAGGAGGCAGCGCGCCAGGAAGTCCAGGAAGGCTGGACACATGCACACTGGTGAGAACAAAAGTATCCGTCTGTCCGGTGACACCCTGACTCCTCTGCCCTGCTTACTACACTCATGAGCCTCAGGCGCGGCAGGAAGCTGACACTGAGGGTGTGGTTACCTGAAGCCAGCCTTCTGGTCCCACAGCTAAGTCTGTAACACTGTCCTAATCACATTCCAGGGGCACAGCTGACTGCAGGGACTGGGACAGGAGTTGTGCTTCTGATAAAGGTCGATTGATGATCTAACTGTAGCCTCAGTCTAGTTGGCGTTACACAGGAGAAACAAAGGATGACATTAAACAGCTTCTCGGCCAGGATTGTGGCTATATGGTAGCAAGCTACACTAACGTGTGGAGGCTCTGGATTGTAAAAATCCACAGCACCAACAAGTCTCCAGCCCCTTCATGATAGCTCCACTGTGAAGAGAACTGTTAGTGCTTTTCCCTTAGCTGGACAGGGTCAAGGACCCCTTGTCACACCTACCCAGCACTCTGCTTGGCTCTCTGGGGTAAGTGTGGGAGCTCAGAGGACCTGGAATTCAGTAGATCTGACGCTCTTGCCCAGAGAGTGAAGTGACCAGATCGGTTGACTGCTTGCTCTAAGACCTCAAGACTTGTAGGGCAGAGCCCTCTTACCTGAGGAATTAGGTGGCTGGCTGGTGGCTCGGGTCCCTGGGGATGGGGAGGTGCTAGGATCTTCCTAAAGTGAGAGAGAAGGTCCTGTCATTAGTCTGCTAGCGACAAGGCAGGGCATCTCTGCGGCAGCTTGCTCTTCACATGTCCTCAAGGCATATCAGTATATGGCTATCATTAAAGAGCAAAACCTCACACTGTAACAGGGGTTCACCAGGCTGTAGACAGGGAAGAAGGGACCTCAGGAAGGCAGCTTCTCGGGACCCCAGCACCCTGCCCAGACCTGATTTATACAGAAGATCTGCCTTTTTTTTTTTTAAAAAAAAAAAGGTGGAAAAAACTGAGGCCTGACAAGGGTTTTGACAGGGCCTCAATAGTGAAATCCACTCCTGAAGGCTCAGCAGGCCTGAGGTATTCTGAAGCTGGGGCTAGGGAGCACTTGCTGGCACCTAGGAAAAGCCAGCGCTGACTCTATGGAATCTGAGGCCCAGCACATCCAGTGAGTACCCAGTGGTACTGGACAGCATGTGTGGTTTAAGGCCACAGGGACGCATGGCACAGGGCAGTTGGGTGAGGACCCCAGTTTGGTCCCTTGACAGGTTTGCAAGGCAACCCTGTCTGTATGAAGGGCATGTCAGAAGCAGAGAGCTAGGGAGATGGGGTAACCTTCCTAACCTGGGGTCTGAGAGGCCATTTTTAGAGAGTAAGGATCATGCAGGAGTCCAGGCTGAAAAAGGCTATCTTGTGAGCAGAGTACTGTCCATGCCCAGGCCCAGTAAAGCGGCACGTGTGCAGACTGATGAGGAGAACAGACTGGCAGGGAGGCTTGGAGCCGAGGGGCACCAGACCCACCTCACTGGCTAAGCATGTGAGGAAGACCAGGCAGACAACACGCACTGGGCCCCGGTGGCCATAACTCTCTAGTTCTGCTAGCGAGGTGCAGCCTTCACACTGTTCGTGCTGGAGGCTTTTACTCACTAGTCCCAGGAGAATGCCATTTATTTTTTAAATAAGAAAGCTTATCATGCACATAAAGAAAATTGATCACCATAAACAGAAGTTGAGGCTGAGGGCTCTGTGCTGACAGACCAACCTCCACATGCCTGCCAGGGACACGAGCCTGGGGCTCCAGAATCCTGCCATGGCTGGGAACCACAGCTCCCACTGGGCTTGACGGATTCTAAACACTCAAGTGGAGTGTTTAGAATTATAAGTAACTTGAAACAACACTTTGACTTCCATCAGACTTCAGCAGATGTACCCAAATCCCTGTGGTGTGGCCTTGGCATGCTGGAGCATCATGGTCCTGAGTTCCCTGGGATTCTCTAAGTACCCCTGGTGGCTGGGACTTTCCTGCCTACTTCTGCTTTCCCCGCTGAGTGATGGCTCCAAGGGTCTGGTCAAAACAAGGCTCAGGAGATGCAAGCCTGACTGGGCCTGTCCCTCCCTCACAGCTATGTCCAAACCAGGCTCCCAGCTTCCAGTGACCTCACTGGGAGATGTGCTTACACTGGAGGCAGGCCTGAGGGTGTGGGCCGGCTGGGTAGAGAGGTGCCTACCATTTGGCTCTCATCTTCCTTTCTGTCAGCAGGCTTGTCTGTCTGGGAGGCCGCCTTTCTCCTAGATGTTGGGGAGAAAACAATACAAATCAGCTTCTCGCGGTGTCCCAGTGAACTAGAACTCTGGGCTGCCTCTCCACTTACACTTGGTTCCCTGACAGACTGTGTGTAGCTTAGGTTTATGTGAACAGGCCACTCAGTTAGGCATCCTTCTTTCATGAGTCAAGGGAGTGGGGAAGACTTTCTGTACTCACTCATGACCTAGACTCAAAACTGGTCTGGGCAGGAAGTAAGCACTTGGGGTGTTTCTTTGTTTGAGCTGGTGGTGGTCATAGTTTCTGAGGGAGAAACATGGTAGTGTTTAGGTCCCTGAGGGAACAGGGTTACTCAAGGCCTGTCGATAGACTGGTATGCTGACTACGGTCTGTCTCTTTTGGTCAGAGCTGTGGGAAGCTTCTGTTGCAGCTGGCTGGCGAGGAACCTCAACTCTAGCAGCACGTCACATCGGGGAAGAGTTTTTCTTGCAACACTTCTGTCTTGGACCCCAGTTAAGCTTGTCCCACCCTTCCCAGCCTAGAACAACACTGAGGAGGATCCAGGACTGCAGCTGTTCTACACTCAACTCATACCCAGGAGTCTTCTGCAGGACTCTAACTTTACTAGTGCTCCCTGCTCTCAACGGTCCCCTGCATCTGGCTTCCTCCCAGGTGTGGACACAGGCCTCTCTTACTTCCAGCAAAGTGCTCCAGTGCCTTTTTAATTGTGAGGCCTCTCCTAAGCTGAGGTGAGCGGCCTGCTGGGGTAAAGGGAGCCTGGTGCATGCTGAGGAGCTGTCTCCGGCTGCCAGGGGCAGGGCTCACACCATCTGTCTCAGGACAGGAGGTCATGAAAGAAGAACAGCAAAACAGCTTTAGAAACCATGGAATTTGACCCAGCGGTTAGCATAGCCACGACGGCCGTGCCTGTGCCTCAGAGAGGCTGTTGTGGAGCATTGCTCTGCTTGTAGCCGTCACAGTCACCACATCCCTCATAACCATGAGTTGTAGGAAAACTCTAAGGGGCGTCCTGCTCCTCACTGGGCAGTGTCACTGGCACTCACAATAATAGTGATTGAGGTTTTTCAAGCTTTGCTACTGGAGCAGATTAGTGACTCAACCACCACCCTTAGAAGGAATTTAGAGACGGAGATTGTTAGTGGCCTTGGGGAACAATCTGAAGTTCAGAAAGGAATACAATTAATAGTTGAGCTAGGGAATTTTTTTTAAAAAAAGATTTTTTTATTTATTTTATGTATACGAGTACACTGCAGCTGTCTTCAGACTCACTAGAAGAGGCATCAGATCCCATTACAGATGGTTGTGAGCTACCATGTGGTTGCTGGGAATTGAACTCAGGACCTCCGGCAGAGCAGTCAGTGTTCTTAACAACTGAGCCATCTCTCCAGCCCGAGTTAGGGTATTTCTTGAGGTCAGGGAAGAAGAAACAATGGCAGACTGACTGGTACTAGCTGATGAGCCTCCTCCTTCCGAAAGCTGGGTTAGTGAGCAAGGGGATGGCTAATTTCTTGTACTCATGCTTGCTTGCCCTTAGCTTCCTGATATGACTTAATAAAAAAGTCATTAATGAGTAGATGCACCCTGAGGATTTAAGTAAAAATGATTGATTGTTTTTTATATAAAACTTTAGATTTATGATTCTCTTAAGAGTTTTCATGATTACTTTTAAGATAAATAATAATTATTTCTTTGTAACTGCAAATTGCAGCCTTCCAGCAAGAGAAATTGGCTGAGAAAATTATTTTGCTTGTTTACATTTTGTTAGTCTATAACAAGTTGCTTAGTTATAAATGTATGTAGGTTCTTGGGAACAACTTGTTTTGCTTTCCAAACCTGTTCAACTTGTACTAAGTAAAGTTTATTCATGTACTGAGGAACATGCTTTTTTATGTATACTCATTGTAATTGATCATTTAATGAAAAATAGAACTTAATCACATTGTGATTTTGTACCCCTTGAAAGATTTTGTTGGGATATATAAATTGTGGAAGAAAAAATAGTTGTTGGAGCTTTGTTCCACCCACCAAATGTGTGTATGTGTGAGTGTGGGAGCCTGTATATGTTTGTGTGTGTCTTTATGTGTATGTGTGAGTATGTGAACATCTATGTGTGTGTGTTTGTGTGTGTATGTGTGAGTGTGTGAACATGTATGTGTGTGTGTGTATGTGTGATTCTTCCCCTACTTTTCTCGCCAGCCCCAAAGAGTTTCTCACTGGCCTAAGTTAATCAAGCTTTGTTCCCTCAGAGAAAAGTCTGACTACACCCGCCTCAGTTCTCCCTGACCTGTCGAAGTTGTCCTTTGATAAGTTATTCCTCCCACAGACCAGGACCAGTAAGTCTCATTAATTCTATCTCAGTATTTCTTCCCACTCTGACCTATTTTAACTGTCACCTACTCCATGGCAGCTGTCATCACCTCTTCTTGGATGACAAAGGTCTCTTCACTGGTCTGCCCAGTCACTTTACCCCATGATGTCCATTGATGCCCAGAAGCCATGTTTCATCTCTTAAAAACAGAGGGATGCCTTGCGGAGAGTGTACCTCAGTGGTAGTCATTTGCCTAACATGTGAGAGGGCGTGAGTTCTATCCCAACACTGTAAAATCTGACAGACAGACAACTACAGACCATGCCACTCCAGTCTACAATGGTAAGATTCAGAGGCAAACAAATGCCTGTGACAGGCTGTCACACGGCAGCTCTCAGTGAGCGCTCACCCCGTAACTTCTCCATTGCAGGTGGATTCCTGCTAGAACAGAAGCAGGAGAAAAAGCTGCAGGACTCCTAATCTCAATGAAGCGGATTTCAAAGACTGCTTGGTTGATCCTTGCAGATTGTGCAAAGCACGTTTGCTTTTGTAGCGCCTGGACCCCACCTCCGACCCCCCAGCACCTGGCGTCTGCTTGGCTCCTGGCAACTCTAACCTCTTCCTGCTTTTAGAGAGGAAGGGTATTCCCTCTCAGATTGAGATACATCACCTAAGCCAAGCTGTTAAGCTTACTGGTCTTAGGTTCGGGGAAGGTGCAAACATTTTCTTTTTAAAATGTTTTCTCCTGTTATCTGAAGCCCCAGTCACCTCTGAGTGTTCTGAGATCCAGCTGGGCAGTGAGGCAGTCTTGCAGCCTCCTCTCCAGCCAACCTCCTACAGTCATCTACACGGGCTGGCTTCTCAGCCTGTGCAGAGGTTTGAACACCTCTGCTACCCTCAGGCCAGAGAACTGCACTTCTTTAAGCTGAGGACAGGTGGAGCCTCCTCTATGAGGCCCATCTCTTCCTCCTGCAGGCCTTGACATACGGTTCTGTGAAGGCTGCTTACATGTCTGGCCCCTGCCTTGGCAACTTCTGTCTGCTTAGACTGTCTAGGAGGCCTGGGAAGGCGAGTATTCCCTACAGACAGGCCAGTTCTGGCCACCATGAAGTAACAGCTTGACTGCCTGCACTTCTGACCCTGTCTCCTCTCTTCATGCTCACAGAGCCTTCCTCTTGGATTCAATAAGATACTTTAGGACCAGGGTGGAAGGCCCAGGCCTACGGTCCTCACTGAGGCTCATGAGCCTCAAAGGTGGAGGGACTGTGAAAGCAGATGGCAGGACTCACACAGCCATCTCTTCATCTCAGGACAGGTCTACCTACCTAGTCATGGGGAGAGCCCTCTGCTCACTGAGGGCAGGGTGAGAGGTGCTTTGCTGATGTGTGAAGGATGCCTGGCCTGCCCACCCTGCCAGGAACTCCTACTCACAGCACTACTGGAGCACTAGGGAGCAGGCCTCTGCTGTGGCTTTCTCTGTTCTCAGGTGCAGAGTGCTGGGATACCAGGCCTGCTCCTGTGCTCTCCGGGTCTCCAGGTCAGCCACAGCCTTGAACCAAGTCAGCATTCCTGGTGCTAGGTCATTTAAGAGTGACAGGGTGGGGCTGGAGAGATGGCTCAGAGGTTAAGAGCACGGGCTGCACTTCCAGAGGTCCTGAGTTCAATTCCCAACAACCACATGGTGGCTCACAACCATCTATAATGAGATCTGGTACCCTCTTCTGGCCTGTGGGAATACATGCAGACAGAACCCTGTATACATAATAAATAAATCTTTTTAAAAAAAGTGACAGGGTAATGTCCTACACAGGCTAGAACTATACCTGTCGGGATGACAATGAAATAGGCCCAGAGCCAACCCTGATAGATAACCTATCTTCTCCCATCTCTCTGGGCAGTTCATCTTATCCTTCCATTCCGGCCTTTTCCTGTGACGAGGCTGATGACACCTGCCTCTAAAACTCTCTAAAACTCTGGGAGTGTGCTGTATTAGTCTCTCAAGTGCAGGGGGTGCTGTTCTAGGCCCCCTGAATGTGTCTTAGCAATGACAGTCAGCTGAGGACATGGCCTCTAGGGAGCACTGTGCTACCCACCTCTTAGCCAGCAGCTTGTTCATTTCTTCCATGAGGCCTCCTCCACCTCCCCCACTGCTTGCCCGGTTGGCATCGGACTTTGAAGTCCCGCTAGGACTGGAGCCTCCAGATGCATCTTCTGGCTGAGAGTAAGGAAGAAGCGTGTGTCCTATGGTGATCCAGTGGCGGGAGAAGAAAGACCCTAGGAGTGGGCTGCTACTCCAACACTCAAGTCCACAGAAAACCAGACATCTAGGGAGGCTCAGGGACAGACACGGTAAGTCCACAGGCATGAATCCTTGACAACGCCAGTTAGTCACAAGGGAGGAGGGAAGCAACTTTCAAGCCAGAGATATGTATCAGAGCCCTCGTTTATGACCAGACTTATACTGTATGCAGCTCTTTCCAGGAGCATATACACCAGGGCGGGGAGCTGAATCAGCTGGAAGCAAGTTCCCTGGGTCAAGCCAAGGCAGACTCAGTACTTATTAACTAAGGCAGCTTGGAGCTGATAAAGTGCTGGCCCTGTGTACTTGTTTAAGACCTGGCAGAGAGCTGGCCAGCTGGGCCAGGGGAGTAGTGTTTTGCTCAGTGTCTCCCAGGTGAGGGCAGGGTGAGAGGCTCTCTGCTGATGTGTGAAGGGTGGCTAACCTGCCCAGCCTGCCAGGAACTCTTACCCGCTGCACCCTCCTTAGCTTGGCTCCCGCCAGAGCAGCAGCCAGTCCTGATGCAGAGCTCTCATCGTGGTTGGTCCCCTGGGCTCCTCCAGCCGGCAGTGGGGGCGGGGGTGGGGGAGTAGAGCCTGTGGGTGGAGGTGGGACTGGGGGTGGAGGTGGAGGTGGAGGTCCACTACAGGAGAGGGTGGCGCTGGCTGCGGATGAGGGGTGCCCAGGGGGGAGAATGGGCCCTGAAAGGCAAAGGGGAGGAGTCAGTCTCCAACACCTAGGGGTGTCCTGCTACTGTTTTCATTCCAGGTCCTTCAGAAGGATGGAGGGCAGCTTGCTCAGAGATGAGATGCAAAAGAGTTTGCCTATCTCAGGAAGGCCCTACAGAACCCAGCCCCATTCCAGTCCCTCCCTATCCCAAGCTCCCAGCATCAGGTGCCGGCTAGACTGGCACACAGTGCCTTAACCCTCTTGAGCACAGCAGAGCTCCTCCTGCTTCACTCATGCTTCTCCAATGTGTATGTGTGTGTGTATGTATGTATGTGTGTGTGTGTGTGTGCGAGTGTGTAGTTCCTGGCAGCACCTTTTCCATTTTAGGCACTTGGCTCCATCTTAGACACTGACTGAAGTTGGTCTCAGGATGTAACTGGGACTAGTACTTGGTCCCTGGGGGGTCTCTGAGAGGTAAGAAACTGTGGCCCCAGAGATGACCAGGACTTTGGGTCAAGGAACCACTGAGTGCTGGCCTCCACTCTGCACCTAGTCAGGCACCTCCAGTGAATCAGGCACTGTGCCATACACTGAGGAAAACACCTCAGGGTGCTTATGGTCTAGTGAGGAGAGCCAACAAATCACAGAGGTGAACACAGACTATGCTACAGGGCAAGCTCTAGTTAAAGTCGGCACAGGAAGCTGTGAGACCTGAAGTTCTTGGAAGCCTGCCCTACAGAGCTAGGAGCAGACAGGAGAGGAAGTGTCGGGCAGGGGAAGGAAGCAGTGCTAAGCCAGGGGCACGGGCTGTGTGGGAGGGAGGGAAAGGAGAAGCTAGTGCTGGAGCGAAGTGGGAGGGGAGGATGCCCGGTGGGCTGCACGCCAGAGCTGTGTCTCAGGGTGATGGGACAGGGTGTTAGACCAGACTTGCTCAAGACTGACAGGGGCCTGGGCAGTGGAGCGGAAATGCTGTAGCAGCTGAGAGCAGTACACTCCATGTGCAGCTGAGGGCAGTACACCCCATGTGCAGCTGACAGCAGTACACCCCGCATGCAGCTGAGGGACAGTACACCCATGTGCAGGGTGTCTGGAAAGCAGGTAAGGCTGTCTGCCATGACCAACACAGAACTTGAGGATGCACTGACCGAGGGTTCTGTGTAAGTCAGGTCCTCTGGGGTGGTGTGGACAGCAGCCGGAGGAAGGAGAGTCTCACCTACCTGTGGCAGAGATTCTTCTCTCCAGAGACTCTTGGCGGTGCTGCTGCTCCATTACTTGTCTGAAAAGCAACCACAGCAGACACCTTGAGCGCTCTGTGCCCGTGCTCCCACGTCTGAAAGCTGGTTCTGTGGTACTGCTGAGAGCCACAACACTGGGCTCTGTGTGTGTGGAGGCAAAAGGATTACTTTTTTTCTTGAGAAAGGGTCTCTCATTGATCTAGAACTTAGCAAGTAGGCAAGGCTGGCCGGCCAATGAACACCAGGGTTTCCCTCTGCTTCCTAAACTCTGGTATTCAAGTGGGTGTGCCATGTCTGACTTTTTAAGAAAGAAAGAAAAAAAAGAGGGGAGGGGGGCTCTAATCAGTGCCTTGCAAGCACATCACTGGCTGAACTACCTTCCGGCACCCCGAGCTGCCTCCTACAGAGACCGAGACAGACGGAAGAGGACTGGCAAGCTGGGACACTCTGAGCAGGAAGTATCTCAGAGAAACCTGTGTGACTCTGGCCAATTTGCTTCACTCACTGGAGTGAGAGGGATAACGGGCTCATCTGGCTGTTTGGAGCCACTGTGGCGGCTTCAATAGATGTGCCCTCAGGAGAAATGGAAGACATGCCTCAGTCTCGTCTCCCATCAGACGTCCCCTGGCACTGCAGGGTTACTAGGCACGCTTCAGAGGGGTGTAGGGAAGGATGGGTCGGCTGGCCATGGGCCTGTCTCCTTAGTCTGCGGTGGCATGTGCAGGTGTTCTCTGTTGCCCCTGATGTCAGTGGATACCTGACCATGCTGGCCTCAGCTCTGTGTGTCTAGGGTAGCTGAAGGGTGATCCTGGCTCTACTGAGAAGTTTTCAGGTAGGCATCTATGGGACATGGGGTTACCTTCTCTGGATGTCCATCTCCTCAGGAGAGGGGCCATTCTGCACCTGACGCTGTGTGGAGGGGCCTGCAGGGAAGAGATGCAGAGTGGACAGGTCAGTAGAGGGAAGAAAGGCCCCGACTAAGAACTGTGAAGGCACACTCCACTCCTCCTGAGGAGATGCCCCAGCCTTCCTTTAAAGTGGGCTCTCATACACACGCAACATCTACATATCTTCATCTCTCTCATTCACCCTTTCTCTCTCCACTTCCTGTGGCTCCTCCCGCTGAAGCACAGTGGAATCCACATTCTGTTGACATCTCATACTTTTCTTTAATCAGCACTTGCTGCGTCTGCTCACTTGCCACTGTCTCCTCAGCCCCCGCCAGTGTGCTGAGACTCATGAGCTCTGATGGGTTCTTTAAAGGAAGGACTAACACCTACAGCTGGGGAAGAGCAAGGCCAGATTGAACCTAGGAACTACGCACACTGGGAGTCTAGAGCTGTGGGCAGAGGCAGTGGAACCCCGCGCGGCTCCCTTTGCTCTGGGCCACCGTGAGACCTCCTAGGCCATACCCACTTCAGACCTGAAAGGACAGGAGTCCCACTGCTGAGCCTCCTGTCCTCAGGAGGGCTGGTGCCACATTTAAAGAGAAATCCGGGCTGCAGCTCCAGCCTAAGGAAGAGCTGACTGTTTCCTGAGGGCCGGTGCACACCGTTCCTTCATAAGTGTGCTACACTCAGTGGCTTGTGCAAGGAGTTTTGTTTCCACCTTTGGGTGAAGTGAGTGTGAGTCTACGCCTCAGACATCAGGCAGTCTCTTCAGCCTCTTACTTCCCAGAAGCCCAGGGTCTTGGCGGTCCTCCTCTTCTTGTGTGCAGAAAGTGTTATTTCCTATGGGAACCGATCAGAGCAATTCCCAGACAACTTTTACTTAATCTGTATTTCAACTGTAATTCTCACACAGCTAGGAGAGTGTCCACGAGGGGCCACTAAAGAAGCCAGGCCCAGGAAGTTAGGTGACTTGCTCAAAGGCTGTGCAAGAAGCCGAGCAAGACAAAGCACCGGCCAAACGTCTCTCATTCTCAAGGTCAGGTTCAGCATGACATCAGTCAGACGGGCTTGAAGAATGAGATGGTGGACTCACATGCCACCTGAAGCGCCACAAGCTGGCTGGCCTGTCCCTCGGTGGAGCACTCAGGTGAGACTTGTGTCTGCACAGTAGAAAGGAGTTGCTTGACCTCTGCCTCACTCACTCTGGGGAAGGCAGGTTTCACAACGCCTCAGCCCTACATTCTGGGACTCTGCTGTTAGCCCGGCCAAGGCTGTGGTGGGTTAAATGAGAAGTTTCCTCCATAGCGCTGGCTACTTGAACACCTGGTCACCAGTTAGAGGTGCTGCAGGAAACATGTCACTGGGGCGGGCTTTGGGAGGTCATAGCTTTGTGCTGTCTCCAGTCTGTGCTCTGCTCCTGCCACCACTCCTCCCCACCATGAGGGACTCTACGGCTCTGGAACTGGGAGCCAACATAAGTAAGCTTCTTTTGCTTATGGTGTTTTCTTAAAGGAGCAGACAGGTAACTAATACACAGGCCTTAGGTTCAAGCTTGAATAACTGAACTTGCCCTGGTCTAGACTGCTTTCCTCCTTCTGGAGGCTGAGTTCCTATTTGGTTCCACCTTATAACTAAGACCCTGAATGCCTGGCCCACACTGGACGCTGTAAGGTCTGCTCAGCCACTGGTCTGCCTTGGTTACTGTTGATTCTTCTCCTGTTAAGACACGCTGATGGCAGCTATGCTCACAGTATTGTGCTGTCATACACTTGGACTTCTCAGTCTGGATGCTGGCCTAGACTCCCAACACCCTCAGCCATCCTGATACTACAGACAGCTGGGAAAGGCCACCAGGAGCCACAGCACAGTCCCTTCCAAGCCTGGAGCTCTGTCCTGAACAGGAAAATATGTCCCTGTATGTTTGAGGCTCTCTTTCCTACCCACTGTCCAGCTGTGCCATGGCAGATTCTGACAGAAGGGCTGGGGAAGAGGCTTCTTCTTCCATAATGGTTGCTGGTTCCCTGAGAAGCCCCGGACAACAGCCCACTTACAGAGGCCTCTCCAGCAAGGTAGTGTTTCTCAAGTGGGAGTAAACATCAACAGGAAGGCTCTGTTCATGACTGATGAGACACTCATCTGTCCTATGCTGAGCTACTGCAGATGACTTCCCTTATGGCTGTAACCACAGGCCAAGATGGTGGACTCATGCTGTCACCTCTTGCCTCCTGGGCTGAGCTGTGACCACGCAGGATGAGGGGTGAGGAGAAGAAGGGTCCCTGATCCCTGACCCCCTAATCTACCTTCTACAACTCAGTACTTAAGGGTATTTATTTTATTTTGTTTGTTTAGTTTTTCAAGACAGGGTTTCTCTGATCAACAGCTCTGGCTGTCCTGGAATTCACTCTGTAGACTAGGTTGGCCTCGAACTCAGAGATCTGCTTGCCTCTGCCTCCCAAGTGCTGGGACCGAAGGCATGCGCCACCATGCCTAGTCTTACTGGTATTTTTAAAAAAGACTCATTTTATGTTTACTTATGTGTATGTTATGTATCTCTGTATGTTACATGAGAATGGGTGCTCATGAAGGCCAGAGAGGCCACTGGACCCCCTGAGCTGGAATCAAGAGTGGCTGTACGGGGTATGGTTCAGTAGGTAAAGTACTTGCTGCACATGCTTGAAGACCTGATCTCTAGCACCATGTAAAGCCAAGAGCAAAGCAGACGCCTGGAACCCCTATAGGGCATAACTGGTACCTGTAAGTCCAGCCCCCGCAGTGGGCAGTACCCCTGGCAGCAAACCAGGCAAGAGGCAGAAGAGAAGAGATGGGACGACCTCCTAACGGCCTTCATCCCAGAACACAAAGAGCTGCTAGGGTAGAGGCTGAGCTCAGGGGAAACTGAAACCCAAACTTATCTGCTTCCAGCTGTGATGGTTCTTGGGAAGAACTGACTTCTTGATGTTGGGATGGTCTGCTTTCTAGTCTCAATTACAAGTGCCACTACTCACTCACACTTCCCAAATATCTGGCAAATCAGAGGATGTCCTTGAACCTTGACGGTCACAAGGTGGGGATCGTGACAGAAAATAAACAAGAAGAGAGTCAGAGGGGCTATCTCCGCCCATGGGACCGCAGGAAGTAGCACGACAGGAGGAGAAAGAAAGCTGGTTGGAGAGGACGGAGCAGAGTACAGCTGGAACATGGTAGGAGACAGGAGACTGACTCCCTCTGAGAGGACTGAGTAAGCTTGCTGGTGGCACATGCCTTTAGTCCCATGTACTGGATCCTATGCAGGCATCCTTCTCTTTATGGCTGAAAACCGTCTTGTCAGAGCTGTGCCTAGAAGTCTGATGGGATCAGACGGGATGTTGTGTAGGGACCAAGCTCTGCTCTCCCAGTCCTCCCACTAGTTCTCCATCTCACCTTTCAGCCCCTTCTCATTCCTGGCTGTACAACTGTAGGATGCTTATATTTACAGAAGTCTCCTCCAGGGTGATTTTATTCACTGTATTTATTTTTGACATTTTGAGATAAGGTCTCACTATGTAGCTCAGGCTGGTCTTGAACTCTTGGCCTCCTGAGTCTTTTCTAGGTTAGTCTTTGCTGGGTTTGCCTCTAAGTAACTAAGACTTCCTTCCTTCTTTGTGCCTCAGTTTCCTATACATATGAAAGATGGAAATAAGGATCATTTATCTCCAACCCTCCCACCCTGCCTTTGGTTCTGGGGAGTAAGTCTGGGACAAGTGCTTTGCCACTGAACAACAGATCTACTCCAGCCTCCAAATATCTACAATTCAAAAGGACAAACAAGAAAACATTCCAAATTATTAACAGTGGGTATCTTAGGATCATGTGGGTTTCTCCTTATTTTGAATTTCCAAATTATGCATGAGTAGCAGGTACCACCTTTGGGACAGGTAACAGTGGTTACAAGTCCCTCCAGTCCCCGCCTGGGTGTCTTGTGTAACTTTACATTCTGAGGTAGGCAGAGGAGGCAAGGTGACACCTGCTCCTAACGAAGGCTCTGCTCTCTCCCTACCCACTAATGACACTTTGGATAGCAGCCCCAGCTGCTCTGGGACAGAGCCCAGGCTAAGTTTCCAGCTCTCCTCGTTAGGAAAGGTATCTCCTGGGCTTCTGAAAAGATGGAACCTGAGATCCCAGGAGTGCCCAAGACAAAGAACCCGCACCCATTCAGTGAGGTCTGATGTAATTTCTGGCCAGCAAACGACAGCTGCCTGCTCTGAGCTGGGCAGCAGCCCAAGCCCTCTTGAGTTGCTCTCTGCTTCCCTTGCTACCATCTTTCTAGCTGCTTGTGTTTCCTCTTTCCCTTTTGGCTAGAGACTAGGCCCTTCGTCTGTATGGGTGCTCTTCCTGCTGCTACACAGACAAGTGTCTATGTAAGAAGGGAGTCTGTGACCCTGGGTCTGGCCACTAGAGAGTTACCTGGTCCAAGCCATGTAGGAATAGGTAGGAGGACTGGAGCTGGCTCCCAGGACAATGTCCCCCAGCCCACCACCCTTCTAGCATGCTCATACTATCCTCAGCCCTGGTACACAGATACCTCCACATCTATACTTACAGAGCAAAGGCAACTCCTGTGTCAGGCTCACCAATGGACAAATGCTTGACTGTCCCCACCTTCCACATTTGTATTTTGAGACAGGGTCTCGCAGTGTAACTCTAGCTGGCCTGGAACTTGCTATATAGATCTGGTCTGTAACTCACAGAGATCTGCCTAGTCTCTGGCACAGCAATTTAGGCTTCTGATGGCTAATGGCCACTGGCTGCTGTGCTCAGGTCACACTAATGCCACCAGCTGCTGTGCTCAGATCACACTAATGGCCACTGGCTGCTGTGCTCAGGTCACACTAATGCCACCGGCTGCTGTGCTCAGATCACACTAATG